TGTGTGCATCCATGATCTCACATGCGAGATTTGAACCCAGGACCATCGTTCTTGAGCATAATTTGTTAACCTCTAAATCAGTGAGGCGGGATCCAAAGGTGTTAGTGTGTAACTTTAATCGATCCACGAAATTCCGTGATCATCTTCATATAAATAAACATTTAACAATCCCAATAAACTCAAACTGAACACCATCATATGTTCACTAATGACTAGTTTCGGGAGGTGATTTTCGGAGTTCGAGGGAGAAACTGTGACCAGTGAAGCTCAATTGCGTGTGGTATAAGACGGTTACCCACCGAAAACGGTGGAAGTTGGTCGCACAACATCGTGGATTGGTTGAAGTTGGACATAAACTCACTTAGATCCCGACTCAGTGGTTAAGATGTTGATCATTCGCTCGCGGGACCAAAACAACTGTCCAGTGCTTCCAGGTTTCCAATGGCGGTTAACAAAATAACTCGGTTTATTATTTCAGGTAGATAGGTTTACGAAAATTAATACGAGTCCTCGTCAACAATGAAAGTTTTTTAGTTATTAGAAATTTTGTCAGTCAAATTATACTAGCAAAATGATTTAGGTTCTGTTGGTTTCCACCATGTCAATAGACAATAGATATCATCTCTTTAATTTTGAATTTTACATACAGTGATCTCGTTTTTATATTTTCGGATATCTTTTCCTGACCAATCAGTATATTTTATTTTAGTCATGGCGCAATAAATACCTAAATTACATATGATTATGATTTCAGCTTCTGCCATTGTGGCCCCGTAATAATAGAAACTGGGTTCTGCTACGCGGGAGCTGACTTCCATGAACAGGGCGTGACATACCACCACGTGTACAATTCCTCTCATTAGTGATTTAAACAGGCACATCTGATATATTCATTAATGATGTTTCGGAGCCTTACTAAACTCTACAAAAGGCTGTTCTCAGACTTGAAGATCTAGCCGACCGACAAAGGTTAGACTGGCTTTTCCACAACATCGAGTTGCAACGCAGCTAAACGAAAGAAATGTCACTACGTATGCGAGATATCATTGATCAACGGACCTCTGACAAAGGGCTGTTCAGGCAGCTTTTCTTGTCTATGTCTCCCCAACAGGTGCAGGCGGTTCTTGTCTCGTTTCAAAATAACGCAGCAAGCAAACTGGCTGCATCTGCCGACCGCACTCTGGGGATCACCACCCCCCCCCCAACATCCAGGCATATTTTGTCAAAGAATAACGTCAAACAACACTAAATGTTGTGACAAATTTCTGCTAAACTCTCATTCGTAATCTTAATATTCAGCATAAACGTGAACGTCCTCAGACCCCTGAAAGGAACTCGTCAGGAAAAATGAACTGTCTTTTAGCCACTAAAGACATAATTCTAATTGATGCTGGCACCAGAATATATATGGCAAGTCTTCTAGAAACTTTATGGAATCTTGCAGTTTCCAATGCTTCAAACCATCAAACATGAAAACTTTTCGAGCAACTTCCCTTCCGAACACACTAATGGTAATCATCGCCGGTGAACATAAACGTCTTTTATACATTACTGATGTGATGACGAAAGTCCTCAATCTCGTCAACACCGCCACGGAAGTAAGCGTTCTTCCAGCAAACTCTAACAACCCTCTGCTCGAACCAATCTTCAACTAACAGGCGCTTAATGGAAAACCGATCGCCACACACGGTAAGCGATATGCTTAGCAGATCATGGGTTTGTGCAAAGCCATTGACTGGATTTTCGTTGTTGCAGATATTTCGATACGAATCATCGGTATGAATCTGCTACAACACCATAACCTACTCGTCGACACGTGCAAACGGAGGTTAGTAGATGGCAATACTAAATTATGTGTTTGTGGAACTCCGTTTACTGGTTGTAGGCTATGCCTAGTCACTGTCATACACATAGATGACACATCCTATCAACGAATACTCGCCAAGTACCCCGAACTCTACCAAACGAGAACAAAACCACAGTGTATAATCAGCACTGTTACAACCCACATCAGGATTACATGGCCACCTGCAAGTGAACGGACTAGCCGACCGGACCGGATCCCTAAATTTTCTCAGACATATTATTGACACTTTAGGCACCCAACCTTCACAAAGCATTGTGATGGGTATTCTGGATTATCCAGAAATGACCACAAACAAGTATTTATGTATGTTTAACGGCCTCGTAAGTATTTGTCGACGGTTCATACCGAATTGCGTGTCTCTCATGAGGTCCTTGACAGACCAACATCGTGGGAATGTCGAAATCATCAAGTTGGACGGCAATGCGAATAGTCACTCTCCTCACTTAAGGCAGTTATCGCGAACTCAACTATACTCGCACACAAGGATATCAAAGTACTGATCAATATCACAATAGACGCATCCGACTCGGCTGTCCGAGGAATCTTACAACAATGCATAAACAACAGCTAATAATTTTGGAATTCTTCTCGAAACGGTCTCGAGACACTGAATCAAGGCATAGCACTTTCGGTAGGAAACACTTGATATTTGTTTTACTGTACGGCACTCTCAACACTGTAGAAGTTCGAAATTTCATTCTATTTGCCGACCGCAGACCTTCCATCTTCTCTCTTAGCTTATCTTTATATAGGTACTCCACTCGAGAGTTTCGACAACTGGTTTACATTTCTCAGTTTACTTCAAACATAAAAAATGTTTTTGGACCAAACGATGTAGTTCCAGACAAGTGAAAGAATAGATATTCAACATTTAACGCGGAGAAAACCCAAAAATCAAGAAAGCGGGAAAGATTAATTCAATTCAGTCGGGTGACATGGCTTAGCCTTGCAGGTGTGGTCATTCTTGTGTAACTTGTCACGTCTATTGATTTTTAGTATATTGTTCCATCTCCAGCCTAAATGTGTTCTCCATCATATATTAGTGATTCTTACAAAAGGACGAGTCAGTGTAGACAATGATGTAACTTTCATGTAGGATTTTATAAAGTAGGTAGTCACGTTTTGACAAATCTACAAGTTTAGGATTAGGTCTATTATTAGAGCAGTACAAATAACGAAATATACCATAATTTTACAGATACTTTCTTAGGATCAAATGGATGCTCTCACTTACTAACGTATATGTACCGTTTCACACGATGGCAAGAAGCAGTAAATATCTAGGACATTACTGCTGAGACAGTGGCCCACACCGTCGAAAACCCATTTACGCGACAACATCTTAACCTCCAGAAGAATTAGTAGATCATTCATCATCTTCAATGAATATGGATCTGAACTCGTCCACGACTCCAGTCTAATCTGATTCCAATCGACCGTAATCAGTTGATGTTTTCTTTTAACCTGCTTCATGAAATTTTGCACACTTCTTCGTATGTCTTCTTTCATCACGACGGTTTCTCGAAATGGTATACAAATTACATTTCAAAGTCATTCATGAATAATCTAAACACTATATCATCAATAAAACGGAATTAACGATAGATTCAGCAACAAAGTTCTTGAAGCCATGTATTTAGGAATAAACCCTAATAATGTTGATCTTCCTTCTGTACACTCAAAAGATACGAGCCTCATAATGACGAAAACCTCATTCGTTATTCAACAATTACGAAAAAATTTCAATGGCTTCTGACAAACGAGCTGTAATAACGCACTTTCAAAGAAGAGTGAGACCTCCATGACACTCAAATGATAACTACTAGTAGGACAATGGGTGACACTTTGTTTTGCTTCGCTTGTTTGTATTATTGTATCAAAAAATATACACTATTTACTCAAATATTCCCATGTATGTGCATCTTTTTATTTTCTAAAACAACCAAAACAAACATCGCGTGAAAATTGTCTCTACACTAAAGTATGTTATCTATGCGCATATACACCACTGTTTTTCGTTTCTTGCACATTCTTCGCGTTTTTACACGCGTATGAGTATATTTTGATATGTACCTACAATCCTTCATTCTTTTCCACGACGTCTGGGAAAGATGAAACACCGACAAAGTATACGACGAACAGAAATTATCATTGTACATTTTTCATTCCTATATTGTACCACACAACCTCTTATATTAGGAAAAGTCGATCGCATGTTACTGAACACAACAAGCAATCAGAAGTGCTTACCGATAAAAAGCTCACTATGTTTAAACTTCTGGGTGGCCACATATTCGGTTCATCACCACCATACTAGGTGGGCAGGGAGTCCCAGCGGTAAACAAATTAGCAAAACAGATAGTTCTGTAAGTTTTTGACGTTGATGCTGACCTCATTAGTTCTACTGAACACAATAGCTGAAGGTGTTCTATCATGCATTCGCATCAGTTTATCACTGGGTACGCCGTGTTATAACAGCTTTTCAACTACTAGCCGGCTCAGACCAAACGCTTCTCGACATGTCGATAGCTCTCAAAATATATCTTCAAACCCATTCATTTCCGACTTCCTATTTGACTGAGTTGACATACTTTGATTTAGAAAGTGTTACGCGTAAAGGCGTTGTCACACATCAAATACCTGTAGCATTCTTACCAATATCTCTTGTCCAGACGGTGTTGTATAGGACTCATCAGTCAACTGCAGTAGACAACATTAGACGAAGCAATAACAAGACACCAATCCCCTCTTTCACAAAAAATACGCAATTGCAGATGGAAATAATCTTTTGAAACCAAACTTCTCATAACAGTGTAAACTCAAATTTTCGCTTCTGCAATGTTGTCCGTCAATTCCGTAATTTGCTGTCATTCAAGGTTTTAAAACAAAAATATTCCAACAAATTTTATTCTTTTAGATTAAATGTCTGACCTTATACTGGTACATTGACGTTACATGTGTACTGGATGTTGAATCATCACATATTTGTTAAGACGAATGTTGCTAAGGTCAGTTGTAGCGTTGCGCAATATAATTTTTCGAAACATTTCATCCCTTAACGCGGACATGTTTTTGTTTGCAAACAGACAGCAACCAGTTTAATTATACTTTTATAAAGTTCCAATTACCTTGGATGGATGATACTTTTCATGTAAATGTGCAAAATATATGTTGCTATCTTGTTGATTGAACAGATTATAGCTTCGGTTAACCCTGAATTTCTCTGTCCAGAAGTGTGCATAAAAACACTCCAGGATACATCTTCTGATGAGGAAAGTACACCAAAAGACGAGGGGGGGTCAGAATTCAGGGATGGTTCTGATATGTGCCAACCCGTTCTTAGGCTTGTGGATGAAGAAAACCTACTCGTTCTCCCTCCCGAAGACCAAGAAGAGAAAAGTGAGGTTGATACAACACTGTACGACGATCGTAGTGACGTCAGAACGCCATCAAGTATGTTGCATATTGGTTCCCGTAATTATAGATGAAGGCGTGATAAATAAACCGGAAACCCCACATAAATCACCAGAAACAGCTGAAGGTCAAGTTTGCAAGAAAAAAAAGAAAAAGAAGTAATCCCATCATTCATAAACTTATTTAGAATCTTTTTTAGACATCTCATAGTCAATCTTTCAAACTGTAAATATGAATCAGGTTTGTTTGAGGCTCAAATTAGTAAACACCAACCATATTTATTAATAAATCTTGATGTTTGCTTGAGAGAAATCTATTTGTTGTTTTGTAAATAATAGCATTTCAATAGAGTATGCAGCAAGGCCTGGGAAATAGGTAAAACTTTCGAAGACAGCCGGCCCTTATAAAACTATTACTTTCCAAATCACACCCTGTACTAAACTATATAATTACTTGTACACATACTACCCTATTTCCACCTAGATAAATATGATATTTTTTATTGTATGGGGTTACGGGAACTGGTAATATGCAGCTTAATGAATTCGTGTACTACAGCCAACATATACGTTGGACGTTCCGGTATATATTTTTGACAACTGGGAAAACAAAAATCTTGGTGGAAACTGAGTAACAACTATACCGCATTGTGCACTTAAAAGGTTTCAGCCAGCGATTTTAAAGCGCGAGTATCTCGTAAAGAGTAAATATACGAATATGGTTTGTGAAGAGGGGAGAATTCGGCGTGTCGTAATGAATTTTATGATTCCGCTATATTTTACATTTATCACTCTAGAAATTGTTGAATAAAGTGTGATATTTTGATCAAACCACATAAATTATACCACTAACCGACCTGCAGAAAATTGACAGAGTAATATATCCCAACGATACGGACGGATACGTTTAAAGTTTTTCAAATCGTAGCCTGTGCGATATAATCTATCCAAGAGTATATTAAAGGTTCAGTCTACAGTCTTGCAGTTTTTCCTGCAGTTTTATGGATGCCTAAAATAGTGACGATACGTTAAAGTGTTATCGATATTTTATCACGAGTATATTCGAAGGTGAAGGCACGCTCTGTAACTAATATTTTGGTATTGCTAAACGCAAGTGTAAATTAATAAATATGAAGAGAAAATCAGTCTTAAAGGGTACTTTTTGAACCGCCGAGTTGTGATACAGGTAAAAGTCTGTAGCTCAGCTGAACTTTCTTAAATGACTTAACTGAAAGTAGCCTTGAGCAGATGTTACAAAAAATTTATTTTTATATCATTTATGCTGAATCTTTCCACTGATCATTTGCAGTCCTAAACTTCAGTGAAAAGTTTCAAACAAGCGATACAAAATGAACTAAAACTTCACCCCACTGCAAAAACTGAGGACTATTAGGACTCAATCGCTAAGTAAACAAGGCGATGGTGTTTCAAGAGAACGGTACAGACTTCAAGTCCCAGAGTGAACATCAACTCTGAGATGCAGGCACATTCACTTGACGAGTCCTAAATAAGACGAAACTTGCGTCCTACGCTCCACTGATATCCATCACCATCTCTGCCTAAAATTTTATAAGTGTCTCAATACAGCAGTACTATATCTTTAACCAACAGGGTGTTGATGTGATTCACATATTATTGTGCGAACCCTTTGGTTAGAGGCTTGAAAACTCAAGAGAGTTAGCAGTTAAACACTTAAATCGGCACTTTCCAAGATGTCAGTATAATTTATGCCTCATACTCTTAAAGTTCTCTAAGCAAATTACATCGTATTTCTCTATATTGTTCACATCACACCACAGTTTAAGTCTTTTATGCTTAGTTTTGCTTTTTCATGCTCTTGGCAGGCGGTAAAGTTTTAACAAACTCATTGCTTTTAACACCTATACAAAAGGCTTCAGTGAACTGGAACTCGAAGTACTTTTTAAAAGCATAAACAAACTATAGTGATAAAATTTTTACCCAGAAAAAAATTCAACAGTGAAAAACCCAGTAATATAAGAAGATGGTCAGCATTTACACGTTTTATTTAGTTTTTGACTGGTATTTTTCCGGAAATTTCATATAATTTGGTAAGACAATAAACACTCGTAGAAATCTAAGCAAATAGTTTGACAGAAATAAAGTGTCAAGTATATATATATATATATATATATATATATATATATTTCCCTATAACTCTCAGATCATATGACCGACTTTTATTTATTATTTTAGTACGTAGAGTCCTGAAACGATTTGGCTTCCGAGAGACTGAAGATGACGAAGATTGGTGTCTCTATTGGACCGATTATTCAGTTACTATTGATAAGGTTCTGGTTATGAAACAGTGGCAGGTATGTGCTGAAATGCTTTTGTGGGAGACACGATAGTTGTAACCTCTTTAAACCAATGTAACTCTCAAAGTGTCTGATATGAAGAGAACTTATTCAAGCCACTACATTTCTAGTAAATGGCGTTTCTCTTTAATTGCTGGTTATCATCTTATGTTCAGTTGTTAAGTATTATAAAAGGTGTCTCAATATTTTCAAAGGAATCCCGACTTTGTTTTGTCGTAGTTATTTGTGAGTCAAGTTACTCCGGACTTACGACGGGCGATGTTAAAATGTGTCTAAGCTTACCGTTTTATCCATAATTTGAGCTGCAACCTAAAACACTTCTGATTAGTATCAATTGATGTATTGTGAATTTTTGAGACACTTTTAATGCTGCCTATAGCGTTATAACATGCAAGAGTAAATAATAGAATTAATTTAAAAAAAGACAGGACAGGATAGTTAAATAAAAAAAGATAAAATATTCGATTTTGTATACACAGGACAAATCTGTAGTATTGACAGATTGTTTTCTATTTTGAGCTACTCAGAGAACGCCCTCTACAAGGAAAGCTGGCTAAATGAAATACACTTTTTCATATATCTGAAGTCAGGCAACCAGTATTATATGTAGATTTGACTGTTAAAATCCTACTTTTACTTTATATTACCTGTATAAAGCCTCTCTCAAATCTGGTAAACTTTATCATTTACCTTTTCAGATTAAAAACATTTTGCAAAACATCAACTGAGAAAATAAGCGTACTTTTAGGACTAAATCAACATAATTTTGTACTTAACTCTGATACATTCATCATCTGCGTTTAATTGTTGCATTCATTATTGTGTAATGAAAGAAAAACATTTAGTTTTTAAGTACATATGAGACAAAGGTTTATCAATTACAAACTTCGTATTTAATGGACGTTATTTATTGCTTGGAAATAAACAAACACCATGTATGATCACATAGAAACTGTAGAACAAATAATTGTTACAAATTAACGAGGTATAAATCACACATATTATATAAGCATGAACTACATCATATGATTAATTTATCCAAACTAGAATGAATATGATAAAAACCTTCAACAAACTTGCTCGGAAATATAAGATACAACCTCGAAATAAAAGTGCAAGAGACTAAGTATAACTAACTAATAATACTTACAATAACAGTATAAACGGTTAATTTTATGTTGAGTGTTATTTATCGTTCGATAGTTTAATTTGTATTTTTAATCAGTAATTTTAAGACAGGCTGCACAAACAATAGTATATTAGCTTAAGTTGTCATAAGTTTTTACCACAATGAAACTACAAACTAACAGAAGTAATAATTCATCGAGATGGTGGTGGATTACGAGAAATTTAACACAATAACTGGTTCTTCATGTTTAGCATTCAGTTCTGTAATGATTTTTAGTGATAACGTCTAATAAAATAATTGGTCATTTTAAGTTATTTAAAAGTTCAAGGATTGTCGCTGAAGCTGCAGATAATTACTCGTCATTAATAAGGTTTAATAGTCTTAATAATGAAACCACTAAGTAATCTGTAAATAAGTCAATCATTGTTTGTTACGGTAGTCAAAAGCAAGTTTTGATTATTTTTTATTGAAATATGTGCGACCTAACAGGATCCTCCAATAGTGCCAATCGTAACAGCTTCTAATGTCTATTACGTGATTTGTGGTGTTCGGTTACGAAGTAATATACAAAAGGTTTAGAAGTAATACAGAGTGAACATATCATAATTTCAACTGGGTTGAAAATAATTATGTACATAGGGATTGATTGATCATGTAATATTTAAAATCTAATCAAGCAGTCGATTCATATGAATTGTATTAGACACAACCTTTGAACGTCGGTATCTAATGTCCTCATATCAAACCTACATGTTCACATTTTATTTTTAGCGGCCGATAAACGTATAGATTTTTTATTAGATATTCATAGATCTCGCATATTTGATGTAAGTGAGTCTTTAACCTTGATATCAAACGTTCAACTTCATTATAATGAACAGTCAGTCAGTAACAACGTAAAACTTCGTACGTACGTACATCGGTTTGAGTTGCCACACCACATTAGCACAGAGACGCAGTTGTCGACTCAAATTCCGTACTGGTAGAAGTAGTAAAAGTATAAGCAGTAGTCGTAAACATTAGGAATTGAAGCTGTTATTCAAGGAGTATAATACAGTCAAATAAACTTGGAAAGAGGAAAAAATGGACATGAAGAACTCAGAAGATTAGAGTTTGGGAGAACACAACGAGTGGATACACCTGCGCCATTGCAAACGATCTTAAGCCATGTCATTCAGGGTCTCTAACCATCGGTTGCAATCGTCTCACGGATCCCAACCAGGTAGTCTACACCTACCAACATGGCTGAGTTGTCAGTGACTTCATGGACTTGTGCCATGTTTTGATCTAGCCACCCCTAGCTTTCTTCCAATCTACTCCTATACCATTGAACATCGCACGTCGAGGCAGTCGGTGGTTAAAACAGTTTATAACTCAAAGAATAAATCCTTTGTTAATATAAATTATTTAACAAAAATCAAACTCATAACCTAATAATTTAGCTGAAATGAAGGAATTTGAGTTATTTTATAACGCTTATTAATCTGTATTCTAAATTTTATTTTACAAAAAAGGTATTTTCATACAAGTGATCTTAAATGTAAATAAATAACTAGTTAAACTATATTCCTTTTTTGATTATTCAAAACTTATAGAAAATAAATCATTTTCCAGGAATGTCTGAAATTTGTCGGAAAGATAGTTTAGCGCGTAATTTAAACAGAATGATCAGATTATTTCCTAAAGACTATAATATATTTCCGAAAACTTGGTGTCTTCCATCAGAGTAAGTTGAATTTTACTATTATTGTATGTTTCATGTAAATTATGATTCACTTTATATTATGTTTTTAAAAAGAATTTATTGTAGTTTTCACCATTATCAAAATATATCCCAAGAAAACTCATACATAATTATATATGGATGTCTTTCATAGATACTGTCTATAATATAAGATTGATGGTGGATTTCATTTAACTTATTAATCATTTTTCATCGAAAGAAAGTAAAGAATAAAATTCACGTGGTGAATTTTAGCAAAATATAAACTGACTTACCAAAATAAACAATCAGAATACGAATGTACTTTCAAAATTGCCAAAATAAAAAAACTCATAAAGATTTAGTTAGAGTTTTGAAGAAGTAACATTTTCACGATTCATATAACTACCACTTATAATTATAATCTTACTACTATCTATACAGATTATTTTTAGCAGTACTAGTTCAAATCTTTTACCTACAGCGTAATCAATCAAAAGCTTACAGTTTTGACTATTAACTACTCAATATGCCCAGTAATATTAACTAGTTTTGCAAATATTTGATTATGTTAGGAGTGCTAAAATATTTTAGTATCCAGTTATGTTTTCATTATAAAAACTTTTTTTTCAGAAAATAAATATACATGGACTAGTTTTAGTGAATTTTTTTTTGTTTTCCTGGAAACAAAGCCAAAAATGTAAATCTGATCAATAGTTCATAGATTTATATTTAGTAAATGAGATGAGTTGAACGTTACAAGAGTATTAAACAAAAACTAAGACCTTGATGAATCTAGCTGGGGATATACTTCATTTGACATTTCATCAAACTCCAATGGTTTGTGTTTATTCTTGATAACATACATATATTCCTAAGTGGTACGTTTTAACATACATCTATCGGAGATTTGAACAATTTCTTATGTTACTTTCGACTAGTACTCCAGGATATACGTCTCAAAATAAGTCGTCAGTGAATATATTTAAGTAATAGTCACTAAGGTCAGATAGCGCGTTTTGAAAACTGACTCAATCTCTTTACATTCTGAATATTTTACTGGTATGATGTTTAAAAATCCAGAAATATATTAAAGAACATGTTAAACATTTCTTAGTTTCTCTCAATAGTTGAGTTTATGGTGACTATTCCAGAGATTTATCATAACATTCTAACTTATTTAATGATAGTGATTATCGTTGTCTTCAATTAACATTTTCTTAATTTCTTTTTAGTTGGAATGATATCCAAAATTATGCTAAAAAGCATAAAAGTAAAACATTTATTATAAAACCAGATAATGGATGTCAAGGTCGTGGTATCTATATCACTAAAAATGCTAAAGATATTCGACCAGTGGAAAATATGATTTGCCAAGTGTACATATCTAAGGTGAATGTTACCAAATACTATTGTTATTATTATTAGTAGTAGTAGCATTTCGAATAAAATGTATTACTTTCTCTATCAGTGACTTTTAATTCATTTCTACGTTGATTGTATTCAATTCTGTGCTACTTGAATGTATAAAGAAATTTTTTGTTTTACACAAGGAGACGAAACATGATAAATACTGGACCATATAAGAAACGAACTGCTTAAAAAAGAACTAAATAAAGTGTTTTGCAACTTACCAAATATAAAAGTGAGCTTTGTAAACTGAACGAACTTTTGGTGAATCACAGAAAGCTCGAAAACATTTTCTGAAGGATGTAACAAATTTAGATTTCGGATCTAAAAGCTATGGAATACTGATATTGAACGATCATCTATTTTTTGTGAACAATTGTATTAAGAGAAAAAATCGTCAAAATATGTCAGTTACCATTTTGATAGGTAAAAAGAAATATAGCATGCTCCAATTGTGGTACTAAGTGGTATAAATTAAAAGAAGCCTCCTTGCTTGTTTACAGATTTTATCACTCACCAATTCATAAAATCTTATGGGACTTTTAACGTAAATGAAGTGGTCAATTTATTTAAGAACATTCTTTATTATCAGGCTAGGCTTTGATCCAGAACTGTCCTAAACCAACACATTTCAGACATTCCTGTATTGCTAATTATGGGGCTAAGAGGACTCAACATTTTTCAATTTGCCTATCAAACATTGTGTGCCTTCTTAAAGTAAATGCAAACATATTTCCTTAAAAAGTCAGATACATGAAGAGTGACTTCTAGAATCATACTCGCAACAAAATTAAACATAAGTGCGGAAAGCAAGCAACTTACAGAAAGAATACTTGACTGAATCAATTGAGAGAATAATGATTAATGAAATTAAATCAATTGGAATTGTTAAGGTACGACAGATATTTGTTATAAGTCTATTACAGCCAAGAAATATGTCTATCGACGTGGTTTAATTTTACTTACAGCTTCGATTAACTTTTTTGATCATTAAAATAGTCCCTTTTAAGAAGCAGTATATATACATTTATTTGTTCTATTAATTTATAGCAGCATTTGTTCAGCAAACTAATCGTTTGGTCAATACATTCTATAAATATATATTACATAATATAACGAAAAATGTATGACCCAAATGTATTGAATAACTGCATTTATGTGAATTAATAATTGGACTGATTTATTGTTGACAAATATGATTGTGTTAATGTTGCTTTTTAACAACTCTATGTTATTTGATTAGATGTAATAATTGTTATGTCCTTAGCTTATACGATGACTGCGAATACGATTGCTAAATTTAAATACACGAACTTATACGACCAACAATTTACGCACACACCTGAATGAACAGCCTGGAGTCCTGATCGATCTTTTTTCCTGCCTTTCAAGTCCAGAACATAAATCTCAGCCTTCGCAACATGAATAATATATTTCAAACATACTCGGTTAATATACAGACCCAACAGACTACATCACATCATAAATAGAAAATAGCATTTGTACAGGATCAAGCAAAAAGAGGCTGTGATTATGAGAAATTGTTACGAATAAATGGGAAATATCTCAAGAATAGTAAATCGTATGATAACAGTCAATAGGTCAAATAAAAGCTTATAATGAAAGGAATATGAATATACATAATCTAGTTACGTAATTGTTATACAATAAGTATATGCGTATAATATTAGTCCATAGATAGATCACAACAGTTACCTTTCATTATTCTCATCGGGATATAACAATAATATCAGTCAACTGGCTATAGTAAAGTATCTAGTCTCAGAACATGCGAGAAATAATAATATAATAGACCAGATGAACAAAAAATAACTTCGTTCTCAATCGTCTTTGTAATTAAATGAATATGAACAACATGAGAATCACCTTATCATAATTTCTTCACTACTGACTAAATGAACTTGTAGAACTCTATTTATTTGAAGTAGAACTTTGTACTCATTAAAATCCGAAATGATTATAAACCATAAAGATTGATTAGAGTCAACTGTTTATGGTTTATACGATGTTTGTTCAAACATAATGAAAACTTGGTTTTATAGTTAACAAATGTAGCAATATTCATTAATGCACAACTATTCTAGATCATACCATAATACAGTTGATCAACTAACTGTTAAACAAACTAGAAATTTCTGTTATAAAAACGATTCTTTCTGTTGACTAAAAGTGCTTTCTTCATTTTTTTTCACTATAAAATTTACTTTTCAGCCTTTTCTTATCGATGGATATAAATTCGACTTGAGAATTTATGTTCTGCTTACTTCATGTGACCCACTACGTTTATTTGTATTTAAAGATGGCCTAGTACGTTTTACTACATGTTCTTATATTGAACCAAATCAACGTAATGTACATGACATGTATATGCATTTAACAAATTATGCTGTACAAAAACATAGCGAAGGCTATATCAGAGATAATGAAGAAGGAGGAACAAAACGCCGAATTACAACGCTTAATCGATGGTTTAAAGATAATGGTTATGATGTGAAAAAGGTTAGCTGATATTTTTTAATCTTACATATATACTATTTTCAGAATTTCGATGGTGCCATATATTTAGGCTGTTGAAATATGAATATTTAATGATTTATTCATGCATGAATTCCGGTTTTCCAATTGTTTAAATGAACTAGAAGCAATACATGAGCCATGTCCTATTACTTACTTACTTACACCTGTTACTCCTAATGGAAAATAGGCCGCCGACCAGCATTCTCCAACCCACTCTGTCCTGGGCCTTCTTCTTTAGTTCCATCCAATTCTTGTTCATTTTTCTCATGTCTATTTCCATTTCTCGGCGTAATGTGTTCTTTGGTCTTCCTCTTTTCCTTTGTCCTTGAGGATTCTATGTGAGGGATTGCCTTGTGATGCAGTTCGGTGCTTTCCTCAATGTGTGTCCTATCCACTTCCAGTGCTTCTTCCTGATTTCTTCCTCCGCTGAGATCTGGTTTGTTCTCTTCCCCAGTTGGTTGTTGGTAATAATGTCCGGCCAACGGATCCGAAGTATTTTGCGTAGACAACTGTTAATAAACACCTGTATTTTCTGGATGATGGCTTTCGTAGATCTCCAGGTTTCCGCCCCATACAGTAGAACTGTCTTGACATTTGTATTGAAAATCCTGACCTTTGTGTTGGTTGACAGTTGTTTTGAGTATATTGAGACCTACTGCTGCTGAGACTGCTGCTACACTGGTGGTCTTCTCCTGCATTTGTTGTTGCGTGTGCGATAGAAGAACTAGATCATCTGTGACGTCTTAATCGTCCAGCTGCATCCTAGATGTCCACTGTATCCCGCGCTTCCCTTCAGATGTTGACGTCTACATGATCCAGTCGATCACGATCAGCAGAAAGAGAAACGGTGAGAGTAAGCAACCTTGCCTGACACCGGTCTTTACTCCGAACGAGTTTGTCAACTGTCCTCCATGCACGATTTTGCAGTTTAATCAGTCATGTCCTATATTAAGATGAAAATGGAGATTAGAATGGTGATGATAAGTGCTAAACCAGCAAAAAGCTAATTGTCAATTTGTTTTGTTTGTTTTTTATATTGTTCTGTTTATCAGTTGATTCTCTAAAACACGTTAAACTTTCATTATCTATTTGTTTATACTACAACCACTGGAACAATAATGTGTCTAATGACAGGTGCTGACAGCCGTATGTGAGTCTCCTGCATTAAGCATTATAAATCTTACAGGATACATGATTTCTTTTCGGTGTAGTGATATTTGACTAAGACTTGCATATATTAAGTTTCTTTTACATATAATACTAATAGAATAATTAAATGTATATATATAATTTCAATGATTAAGATCATGGGTCGGTTGAAGCTAGACCACCATGGAAAACCTTGAAGCATTGGACGGCCGTTCCGTCCTATTGTGGGACTCCTCAGCAGTCCGCATCCGCGACCTCGCCCCCTGCGAGATTCAAACCCAGGACCTACTGGTTTCGCGCGCGAGCACTTCACCAGTGCTTCCAGGTTTTCCAGGGTAGTCTAGCTTCAACTGACTCATGATATTAATCATTGAAATTACTATAATATCCACAAAAACCCATCTGGTATATATATAAGTAAAAATTTGGATTTCTGACTTTTCGTAGCTTCATTTAAGTCACTTCTTCCTTGAAATGTCAGAAATCCAAATTCTTGTTCATTGTGATATCGAAAAATATATTTATGATTATTTCATTATTACTAACTTTCTACCCGAATCCCAATTCATTTGGAATATTTCTATGTAAGTTTATTTATAACTTTCAGCCAAACTGATCAATTCGAATGGTTTTCTTTGCTTCATATCAACTTGTATTTTTGTTTGTAAATTATTAAAAAATCAGATAAAGAAAATGATTAACAATACAGCCTAAATGAAAATACATTGTCACTCATTAACTACAGCGTAAATATTGATCTGGTTATTCGTGATCTAAATCATCACTTGTGCAACCAATCAACATTAAATCACTAGGCTAATAAACGAAACTTGCCCATGTCGGGTCTGAGACGGTTGTCCACCACAGACAACTGAAAATGATCCCACGAGCTGGTGAAACTCTTGAAGTTAGGCTTATACTTTATTGTATACTGACTCAACGGTCTAAACGTCAGGAATTCGGGCGCAAAACTGAACGTTTGGAGTTCGACCTCCGGCGATGCAGTCATGGATGCACGCTAGTTAGGACTCCAACACTAGAACGAAACATTTGTTCAGTGCTTCTGCGTTTTCAATAGCGGCTCAAATAAGATCAGTCCGTGATGTAAACTACCAAAATCTAAAAATTTCCACAAAATCCCTATACTGATTAAAACTCATTATAAAGCTGGCCATAATTTTTAACCTGCATATATCATTGCAGATAATATATTACACGATCACTAATGGATATAGTGTGAACATATATTTTGAATGAAAACAATCAGAATTAAACGGATAAGTTTAAACTGACTTAAAGATGGGTTTAAAATGGCAATTTTCAATAAAATGTTTCTCCACCAACAACAAATATTCGGAATGAAGTCAAAATCACTAACTTTTCTAACTAATAATTCTTGAAAACATGTTCAATCACTGAATTTATATTATTAAACAAAAATTGCAAAGCGAATGTTATTTAGTTAGTTGTTATTTTAGAACTGTATTGACATATTTGACTTCATCTAGTTTCATCTTGAAATAGTTCAAAACTGGGAACGGTTACCGGATAAGAAATGAAATATGGTCAAATGTAGTTGACAAAGTGTTATAACTGAAAAATATTTGCTGATGATTAAGGGTAGCGAATTATTGATCGGACCAAAGACGCGCAAACACGTAGAACGACCTAGGGTTCTGATTGGTCTCGCTTCCCTGTATAGCCCAGCCAATTGAGTCCAGAACACAAGTCACAGCCTCGGATTTATGAATCATTATATTTCAAACATGCTTTGTTTATATACCATTCAAGCAGTCCACAACGTACCACAAAATAGAAGATAACATTGTACAATAATGGCCAACAGGAAAATAACACGTCAAATAAATATTGACCAATAAGATGATACCATTTCATGTCCAAGGATAGCATTAGGCTTAACAGGATAATTTTTGGGATATTTTCCTGAATATCCCAACACCTCCCTTTTTTTGGGAGATCCGGAGTTAATGTCCGAATTTTAAATTTTTCTCGCGTCTATCCTCCCCCTCGAAATAATGTTGGGTCCTCATATACCCAAGGAACAGTTAGTGTGACTCTATTTGAAGCATATTTCCCGCGTTGAGTGGAGAGTCCACTAGGACTGACTAGATGGTGAGGATCAGCGACAGTAGATCTGAGGTCATTAGGGTTTAAATCTTTAGTAAGTAGTGAAGCATTATGATAATCGGCGTCCAACAAAACTGTACCAGGTTCTTGGTTATTATTTGATGCGTGGAACACATTTTCTGGCAAAACAATGAGATCTTCTCGTGAGCTGGATATGTTACTGTCTGCGCATGCTGTTTCGGGGTTGATGGAGTTTGACTCCATTACCGGGCATGTTTCTGGAATAGAAAGTACTGGACCACTGGGCGCATGATGGATGACTGTTTCGTTTGAAGTACAGTTCATCGAGGATTCATGAAGGCTGCTGTCATTTTCCAGCTCACTGTGTATTTCAGATATCAATCCATCGACTTCCGTCGCGTCTTCATAGCATGAGTGATTTAGCAGCTGCGTGCGGAATTTGACTAATAAGTCCAAATGTCGTTCAAAGAGCAGCTGTAATCGATCGGAAGGGAGAGTCATTTTTTTTAATCAGCACCTGTGATGAAAATTACTGTATGACTAATGACCAATATGGTTCAAGGACACTGGATACTGATTGGTTGAATAATTAGACTGGATTTCGTCCAATTACGGAATGACTTTGGATTGTATTTTTTTCTTCACCCCGTCGCCAATTGTTATAACTGAAAAATAAAGCTGCAGATGGGATAGCGAATTATTGATCGGACCAAAGACGCGCAAACACGTAGAACGACCTAGGGTTCTGATTGGTCTCGCTTCCCTGTATAGCCCAGCCAATTGAGTCCAGAACACAAGTCACAGCCTCGGATTTATGAATCATTATATTTCAAACATGCTTTGTTTATATACCATTCAAGCAGTCCACAACGTACCACAAAATAGAAGATAACATTGTACAATAATGGCCAACAGGAAAATAACACGTCAAATAAATATTGACCAATAAGATGATACCATTTCATGTCCAAGGATAGCATTAGGCTTAACAGGATAATTTTTGGGATATTTTCCTGAATATCCCAACACAAAGATACTTCCATAACAGGTTTTCTGTTTATTAATAACAATCACTAATAACATAAGGAAAATGATACTACACAGAAATGCAGACTACAGTTACTTACCATCATAACCACAAGTTACTTTTGAGATACGACAGATGTTTCCAACCTATTTCAAAACCAAATACAACACTGATGACTATAATTCATGAACGGCCTTTGAGCGACGCCAAAGTGATCTTGAGGGTGTCTATCTACTAACTAGGACTAAATGATGTTTATAAACCAGTGCGATGAATCAGAATTATGATTTACAGTTGATGGTTAAGATTAGAAACTAGATTTAGGGTTTTCGTCACGAACTGACATCAGCTAAAATGCCAAAATGCTATTTAACTAAATGAACGATTGAATTTCGCACCGAAATCCAAAACCTGTTATCGTAAATCTGATTGGTTCGTCCATAAATTATAGTCTCACCACAATATTCAGCTGCAATATGTTTTAAAGACTTACTTAACTATAAAACAGCAAATATAATAGGACATTGTGTTTAAATTATTTATTTATCAATAATGGCACAACAATGAATGATACTTAGCACAGTTAGCTACAAACTAATGATAATATGGATGAGCGTAAATGAGCAGCTGATCTAATATTGAATAAAAGATATTCAGATAATTATATTAGGCTTCTCAAATAGTTATAATTGTATCC